TTTATTCGATTAAAACTGACTATGACTTTAGACTTATGACTAGAATTAAATCAAAATTTGCACTGGTTGCTGAAGAACATAATTGGACTGGAGCCGATCCGCTTGCGCTAGCTAGCTTAGTTAGCATACCTTGCTAACTAAGCTAGCTATCTAGCTGTTCACTTTTAATATAAACCCTTCAAAGAAAATTTGGTTGCACAGTATTAATGTCCTCTGCTTAAGGTTTTAAAATTCATAATGCTACTGTAAAACAATATTTTTGCAGTAATGTTACAAAACAAAAATCACTGGCTAATGAATTATACCTCACAAGTTGTTAGTCAGCAAGCACACCTTGGCTAATCCTCCTTTCTGGAACTTGGTATGACAAATGTTTACTTAAGTTTTTAATTCAAATGAGTGACTAAGTCCATAAACTCAACAGGAAAGTGTTTAAAGAGGTCAAGAAAGAGACATTTTGCCTTAAATGTATATAGGATTAGAATTATTTTTGTACCTGTATCGCCCCCTGGTGACTATTAAAAAGAACACAAGCTAAGTTACTTCTACATTGGCTTCACTCTTTAAACCCTGAGGCTTTGTACTGTTTACAGTTACGCATTAGCCAGTATGTAATGCAGCAAACAAAGTCGACATTGTGTAATGTATTTTTAGGGAATTCAGTTTTCGCTGACAGTGAATTATTTCCTGGAACGGGCAGCTCTGTTTAATTCCTTTTATGACAAAATGATTAAGAAACCCATATTCGCAGTAAGAGGAGTACACTCTTACAGGAAACAAATCAAAAAAATCAAAGTCTTTGTCAGCTGCTGGTGACTGATGACATAAATTCATCTTTTTTTAACTTTTTTTTTTTTTACAAAGTCATATAATGAAGTAATTCATTATATGACTTCCCTTTAACCTGACTTCCTCTGAAACCACATACTGTGTCATACTTCGTGTTTGCGATGGGCACATCCATCTTTTATATACAGTCTATGTAAAAGACCAAAACAGAGTCAAAATGAAAATGTTTTGTCCCAAAGGTATAAATGCAGCTTTAAAGTTGATTAGGTATCTTTATATTATTTCACAAAATTCTATATTTTTATCCTGCCAACTTAATTTCAAAAAACAATTTCAGACTATGGTTGGGTAATAATTTAAAGTGAAATTAAAGTAAACTGAAACGGGTTCATGGGATGGTTAAGACAAAGTTCAAACACTGACGATTCTGAGAAAGATGAATCCAGCTGAAAACATCTTAAATAAAACAGAGATCCAGGTTAAAGCATCACACCTATAAAAATACATTTCTTACTTTTAGTCTGGTGAATTAGGCTCCAGCCCCTCTGTGACTCTGAATTGGATAGGTGGAAGAAAATGCATGGATGGTTGGATAGTAGGGTGAATTAAAAAAGTCTGCATACAAAGCTAGAAGCAAGCTTTATTTAGCTCGAGCAGTCATAGTGTAGATGTATGAATCATGTTTTTGGAGAGCTGGGTATCAGGTTTTGGGTAATCTCAAGTATCCAGGCCTTCCTCCTTGTCAGGCTGACAGAAGTCTGGAGAAAATCTAAGCAAAAGGAAAAAAAAAAAGAGAAAGAAAAAGTCATGAAATCCTGAGACAGTGTGCTTGGGTTTCACATGAATACTCCAGAAACAAGTTCTCCCTCTGCTGACCTGTTCATGAGAGATCATCTTCTCTGTCCATTCAGGTGTTGTTCAACGAGCAGCAGTCTCAGTACGTGAAGCTGGACGTGGTGACCCTTGGCTTGAGGGCTCAGAAGCTGCAATGCATGGAAGGCTACGGGACAACCCCCTCTGCCGGGCCGCACCCTTTCCACTTCCTGAAGCCCTGCCAGGTGTCCGGCCTCCTGCGACTGGACAAAGGCACGGAGCTGCAGGCCATTACGGGCCCGTCCTTCAGACTCCACAGCGTAGGCAATCCCTCCGCCTCGCCTCACGTCTTTAGCATCTTTAAAGTTAACTGAAGCACACTGTGGAAACTTTTTGTTTGTTTTTGTTTGTTTGTTTTAACGAGTAAACAGACTCATCAGAGAACTAACTTGTTTTTGTGCGGACAAGATTGTTTTATAAATGGTGAAGCTGTCATAAGCGGTCGAGGCATCGCTTAATGCTACGGCTTCTTCCCAAAGACGTTAATTTGAAAGACAAACCCTGACATTTGGGGAAGCTGTTGTGGATTTTTTTCCCTCTGGACTGCAGAGCTGTTTTGGAACGCAGATTTTTGGAATAAAACCAAGGCCCGCAGTGAATGTCTGCCGAGGGAACAGATGTGATGGGAGCTGTTCTGTAGATAAAGGGCTTCATATAAAAAAGAAGAAGCAGAAGAAAACTCCTTGGATGTTCATCTTAGCCTGTGTATTACGCTATAAATTGTGCTTAAACTCTTTATAAGACTATGAGTAAAGCTGTGCATGCACCTTCCACTTCCACAGCTGAGAGCACATCTGCAAGCGGCCTACACGAGTTGTCATATATTTTATACAATGTAGCGTCAGTGTGTATGAAATCTTACAAATCAATTTTGTTTCTGTTTATACTGATTTTATAATATCAATGCAAGCATTTTCTTTAAATACTTTGGATATATTTTACACACATTTTACATTTTATCAAGGAGATGGTTTGGGCGGTGTTTTAAATACCATGGATGTGAATTTGTTATCTTTTATAAGGTTAAAATGATTGTTTGTATACTTTGTTGTGCAAGTTATACCGAGCGAAGCATAGAGCTTTAAATATAGCTTGTCCTTACTCCCTCTTCTTCACCTGATTGATGACCATTTTTCAAGAAATAACCTGATAAAACTGTTAATTATTCAGCCAAAATACAGATAAAGCTGTATTATAAATGAAGTTAATACATTTTCCTTTTTTTTCATCACGTTGGCAAAGTATAGATGCTTATGTAAGTTATTCACAAAGAACTAACAGAAAGAACATCACAAAAACGAAATGCACTGCCATGAAATTGGTACACGCCTTCATGCACCCCTGAGCGAATTCATATAAAAACAGCCGTTTCCTGTCAGCCTCAGCTGGATGTTTTTGTTTTGCAGTCATTGTTGTGGCTGATGATGGGTCTTTAATGGTCGACTGCGCATGTAGGCATGATCGGTTCACGTACAGCAAACTCTGTGTTATCTTATTTGGCAGAAATCTATGCATTTTCTGTTCTTTGTGACCATTTGAAAAGCTTTCATTAATCCAATTCAGGGTCACAGCAGTGCTGGAGCCAATCCCAGTTGCCATAGGGCGAGGGGTGAGATAAGTGGCCCTGAAAAAACTAACAAAGAAACTGTATGTATGCGTGACTAAAACCCAAATTTTCAACAGATAATCTTATTACACTTAGTGATTTCCTTTAAATCTGACTGAAACCTCTTAGAAGGAGATCCAAATACTTTCATGCCTGAGAAATCCTCTGTCATGGATATTCACACCTCTCCAATGAACCTGCTCATGTTAGTAAAACATTTTCTACTTTTATTGAAGATGCTACCCTGCACCTGAACACATGGAGCTTCACAAAGTCATTTCCAAGTTACAAAATAGATTATTAAACCCTTCTGCTAATCAGCCCTCTCAATGCGGTAAACAGTGTGCAACATTAGCACTGCTGATTGCAGACCAGTGACGTCCAACCAGAGATTCTTGTACACCAGGATATAACTCTGCAGTTTCAGAGAGGTAACAGAAAGCCATTTTCTTACCAAGTTTGGCATTGTAGGAGCGCTGTGAGAGGACATGCACACCTTGGACACCTCTCTCTACACAGAAAAGCCCCATGCACAGTCTGATATCCTCGTGTCAGTGTTGTTCCTACATCATCATAATAACGCTGGCCCAGGATCAGCATTGCACCCGGCCAGTGACGTTGTCTGAGTTAGTTAGCATTCAGTTAGCATTAGCCAAAAAGTTAGCTAAGTTAGCAAACCAAGATAAATAAACTAAATTTGGCTAACAGCAAAACTAACCTGATAATATGTTTGTTATATTTTATAAATGAACAAAGAAAACACTTGAAATGCTGACCATTTGTTTTAGAAGAGAGGTTTATTTTAACAAAGGTATGGTTTTACTTTTTTCTCCATATTTTAAAGTTATGCGATACAACAACGTGCTTCTTCAGTTGCAATTTTGATACTGGACTGACATCATTATGATAATGCAGTGAGAACACTAACACAGGGGTATCAGACACGTCAGCCTCCTGGCAGATTCAAATCCAGACGCTTCTTGTTGTAAGGTAACAGTGCTAACCTTTGCACCACCATGCAAGCCCTAACTAATCTACTACATAAGTTAAATGCTAATAGGTTCAAAAAGTTAGCTGGTACTGAAATGAAGAGCCAATGAAAGTTTATATCAAAAGGAAAGAAGCATCGGGACAAAGTTAAAACATGAAAGAGCAGCGATGAGGCTGCTGCTAAGGGCTAAGCTAAAGGACCCACGACAGCAAAAATATGAACAAAAGCAACCACATATGTTACTTCACATTTATTATTTTGGTATTTTAACCAGTTAGTAAATGATTAAAACAGATCCCTAAAATTAAGAAATAGTGAACTGAAAGTTACAGATTAACAGTAGAGGGTAAATACCAATGGGTTATATTGTGAGCGTTAAACAGCTAAAATTAAGTATAAATTAAGAAAAGGAAATGAATGTCATTTATCCATTTATGCAATATGGATAAATGACTTCATCACCCACAGTATGCGTTAATATTGTAGTATCAGGGTCAGAATTTAACAAACTGGCCCTAAAAACGGACCCTTTATTGTATAAAATTATTTATAACAAAGGCAACCAGTGAAAGGGTTACCAGAGCTCATCTGGGCACTGTGGGTATGCATGGGTCTGACAAAAACGACTGAGAGTCATTGCTGTAGTCTGTCCTTTTACCCTTTTGTGGCTTCATTTTTATTACAGTGAATTTATAAAAGCCAGATATTAAATCAGTTGTGTGACACCAAAAGCAGAACTCTGCAGAAACATGGAAAAGATCCAACATCAATTTTCAAGGGAGTCGTTCCAGGTTAACCTCGGAAAAAAAGAAAAAAAAGAGAGTTCTGGTTATTTGGTGTCTCACTGCAAAAGAGAGGTGAATGGTGTCAAACTGAAAGTTACATTTAAGAGTTCAGTTTAATATCTAAAAGCTTTTAGTATTGGGTTTGTTTTACTTTTATATCCTTCTGGAAATATAACTCCTTCCATTCTCTCATACGCTGCTGGTTTCCGTAATATTCCTTGCTACAATGCAAACAGTGTGTATTTCTAGCCGTGGGTTTCTGCACTCCCACTCTTGTTTATAAGTAGTTTTTGTGGATGGACCACATTGGTTTCTCCTCAGCACTTTACTGCAGCGATCGCAGCGTTTTTAATTGGAACCAAACATTTATGTTTTCAAATGGAAAAAAACGTCCGATTCTGCAGTGCAGACGATATATCCTGTTTGATTTCCTCATCATTTTCCTCTTTCCTCTTTATGTCTCAGTCATCCCCCCCTCCACATCCCTGTGCACCTCATACTTCCCTGTCAGCACCAATCAGACTACACACACACACCAACAACCCTCTAAATTTTCACTTCCTGAATCTGAACCTGAACCACATAGCTTAAAGTCTTTCAGGAAAAACATGCCTCATCCCACCCCCGCCACCACAAACACACACACAACACACACATGAACACTTCCCTGCCCCAATTCCTTTTTCTTTAAATGTCAAAGTTTATCGCCATCTCGGAAAATTCTGTAATGTTGTGAAGACGTTCTCTGTAAAATGATGATGTATGCATTGCCTAAACATTGTTAAGTTTCCACTTTGTTCACACTTTGAAATAAACCTTCCTTACTGTTTTTGAAAAGCTCAATTTCTTTTAAGAAAGAGACTCAAAAATAAGTTAATGGGAAGCATAAAACAGCTAACAAAGCATAAGCCAATTTCGAACCATTATCCTGCTCAGCCTTGAATATTGGAGAGGAGAATGACTCCATACATGATGGAAAATGGATATGTGAACACCTTGATCCAAAAGAGAGGCATTCCATGCTTCACGGGATGCCTGGAACACAGAAGAGTCCTAGGCCAGATGACACATGAAGCCAGGTCAAAGAAAAGCAATCTGACAGTAGTCTGGCTGGACTTTGTAGACATTCCTCACAATCTTGTCAGAATAGCCATAAAGTATTACCACGTCCCAGACCGCATCAAGGGAATGATCTGTAGCTACCTGCGAGGGATCAAGCTCAGCTTCAAGACCACAAACTGCATCACCCAGTGGCAGCACCACGAGAAAACGATTGTCACTGGTTGTGCAGTCTCCCCCAGCCTATCATCCTGTTATGAACCTCATGAAAAATGTAACCAGCGACTCGGCGAAGAACTCAAGCATCTGATAACAGTGATAAAGGACTTCGTGGATGACCTTATAATCACAACATCTTCCCATGTGCAGGCAAAATTGGTCCTAACCAAGCTTGATGAGGTGGCAACACAGACTACGATAACTAAGGGACAGCAGCAGCATCCACAATACTGAAGAGAAAGCATAGGGGTGGTTGAAGACTACTGATAAATCTGGGCTCCTGGGGAAGTTTCAGACATGGCTGTATCAACAACGCTTGCTTCCAAGGTTGATGTGGTTTCTGATAGTGTATAAAGTCCAGCTTACAGCAGTGGAAGGAGTGGAACGAAAGATCATTGAGCACCTAAGAAGCTGGCTCCAAGTTTTACTCCAGTCGGGCTCTACATCTGGGCAACTACAACTACTCTGTCATCTCTCATTGCAGAGTTCAAAGTGGCAAATGCAGGTTTGCCTTCATCTTCAGAGATTCAAGAGACAACAAGGTCAGAGAAGTAGGTTAAAAACCACATCAGGACAAGAGTGGAAGGACTCTAAATCACTGGTCCAAGAGAAAGGAATCTTTAAAATCCAACTTTATTCGAGCACCCTGTGCAGGATGACAAAGTCTGGGCATCACATGCTTCCAAAAATCTGGAAAAGTTTAACTTAACAAAGAGGAAAACCATGATCCAGGCAGAAATGAGAAATATGGAGGAGTACCAGAGGAAGTTAAGAGCAGTCAAGCTTACCTCCCAGGGCTCAGGGGCAACGTGGGTCAATCAACCCCAAGAGGAAGGTGACTTGGTGTCATGGTCCAGGAGAGTGGCTGTGGTTTTCCACGTTTCCACTGAGTTCCACCTCTGGGCGGAGCCCTCATCCACACGCCTGTCATGCTCACCTGTCTGTGATCCAGGATAATCAGCCATCAGTATTTAAGACCAGCACATTCAACTTTTCTTCACCAGTTCGTCTCATGATCTACATTAGTATTAGGCCTCCTTTGCATCTTGTGATTTCTCTTGTTCATGCTAACTTATCCTGTTCTCCTTGTGTTTCTAGTAGCTTCTCGGATTCACCATACTCCTCATTCGCACTTCTTTTCACTCACCTGGATGCTGGTCATCTCTGGAAATGCTAACCACTGGTTCATAATCAGGGGCAGCACGGTGGCACGGTGGTTAGCACTGTTGCCGCACAGCAAGAAGGTCCTGAGTTCAATTCCACCATCACGCCGGGGTCTTTCTGTGTGGAGTTTGCATGTTCTCCCCGTGTTTGCGTGGGTTCCCTCTGGGTACTCCGGCTTCCTCCCACTGTCCAAAGACATGCAGCTTGTGGGGATAGGTTAATTGATTAATCCAAATTGCCACTAGGTGTGAATGTGCGAGTGAATGTGAGTGTGAATGGTTGTCTGTCCCTGTGTGTTGGCCCTGCAACAGACTGGCGACCTGTCCAGGGTGTACCCCGCCTCTCGCCCTATGACAGCTGGTATAGGCTCCAGCGCCCCCCGCGACCCTGAACAGGATAAGCGGACGCGAATGGATGGATGGATGGATGGATGGTTCATAATCACAGGATCACCTTTCCTTACTTGCCTTCCCTCCTGCCACTGGATTCCCCTTTACTGGACCATTCAGGTTGGATTCTGGACTCCCTCTCATCTGTCTGGACACTCACCTGCCCAGTATTGCTTTTTCCTAGTCACCCTCCACTTGCTAGCAAAAGACCCTTGTTCAAGTTCCATGCCGCACACGATTCCTGACCCTCGTTCGAGTTCTACGTGCCACCCACAATTCCTGTGTGTACTGTTTTCACTTGAGTTTAGTAAATAAAGTCCAGGTTGATCCCATTGTCCTTTTCTGAGTCTGCATTTGGGCTCTTTGACACTTGGGTTGACTTATGGAGGTTGGAGCCATCCAAATCTGCACAGCAGGGGCACGAGAGATGACCTAATGTGCAAGTTCTACAGGAACCCTGGCACATATCTTATTAGTGTACATGTCTGCTCTTAACCAAGGCAGATACAAGTGGTGCCATGACAAGGTACTGGCTGTACTCGCAAACGTCCTAGAGCAAGAGCCCATCCATACTTCTGTCCATCCAGCCATCTTCTTTTGTTTATCTGAAGTTGAGTCACAGTGGCAACAAGCTAGGCACAGAATTCCAGTCATCCTTTTCCTCAGCAGTGTTTTTGTAGTTCCTCCTGGGGGGGTCCAAAGACACCCAAGATGATATATATTGTGGATCTACCCCAGATGCCTGAAAAAAAATATAGGATGGTCGCGTATCCATGACTTTGTCTCTTTGGTCACTTACTCAAAGCTCATAACCGTAAATTGACCAGTAAAGTTTGACCTTCTGGCTCGGCTCTGAAAGAAGTTTTCAAAAATTCTTATGTTAGTCCTTGTCTGCTTGATGGGACCAGCAGTTTTTACAGTTTGTTGCACCTCACCAATAAATAGTAAAATATGTCAGTCTTTTTGCTTATGGACACCTTGTCATATAAAGTAAGTGAGCTTGTTGCTGGCATTACCTGTGAGTAGTTCAGCTCAGGATTAATTTTTATTAGAAGTTTGTATTTCACCAGTATGTCTCATTTTATTGTTTATTATTATTGTGTAGATGTGATATTGTATTGTGGCATACTTTCACTTTTGTTGCATATGTCATATTTA